ATTGCCTTTTGGATCAAATTCATTTCAAAATTAATAAAATGAAAAAATCTGAAGATTTTGATTTGAAGTGCCCCAAGGATTTTGACGAAGACTTTCGCTTAAAATATGCAAAAGTACTTGAGGTGAGCCGTTGAAAAGTTCCCAAGGCCTCCTAAATACCACGCATCACTAAGCTAGGATAGTCTTGGAGAAGGTGACTCTTGCAATACGTGATTCGAAGAATCATTTGAAGATCGTTGTCAAGGAGTCTGTCTGTTACTCAGGAAGTGAATAATGGTCTACAACATACCCCATATATGATTTCAATGGGTTTTTTAATGGTTTAAAAGAAACAGACTACTTTTTTTGCTCGACCCACAAAACCTTGACCTGAAAATGTCGGTTTGGGAGGCTAGCTACTATGACAAACTAGGAAAGCGACTGACTAGTCAAGTGCATGAAGGAGAATTCCTAAGAAAGGTCAACTGGACTGAGTTTGACATTTTTATCCGCTTATCGAGGAGCTAAAAAAGGACTTCTGGAGTATTTAACCACGACCTGAGCCTTCCTGCTTCAGTAGTACTCTCATAGGTGTGTATGAATAGAAAAGAGGCGTCTCTATGATCGGTGAGATGCAACCAATCATGGCTCTTGTGTTTAGACCTTTTGAAAAGATAATCATGCTATCTCAATACACTCTGCCCTCTAACGAAAAGCCCTTAAACCTGATGAGCGATTACTGCTAATCATAAATCTTTGCCAGGGGTATTGCATATGACATCTGTAAAGGGCTTTTTTCGGGACCGAAAGGGGGTAAACATCAACATTTCCAATCCTGTTGATTTGAAACTTAAAGAGAACATGCCCAAAGGCTCCGTCAACACCTTTCTCCTCCAGGACTTGTTTTTCAGTCTTTTACCCTCCTTACCCCCTAATTTATTTTCCTTGAACCTTCTGTTTTCATGTTATTTTCAATAGTCTGATAACAATAGAAAAATCATAAGATAAAAGCGTTAAAATGGCAGACTTACATGCAACGGTGTCCAATATATGTTCCCCATCATCGCCTGCTCTTGTGTTCATAGTCATGTGTGTAATTTCTTATATGAAAAAAACTTTTGTACGTTTAGTACCACCAAACAACTGCCGTAAGCTGTGAACTTCTCTGAGGAGAAATCCGCCAGCCAAACATTGCTTTGTGCGGATATTCTTCCGGTTTCTTGCTTGACGATTCATGCGTCACGACAAGGCAAATATCAGCATATATCACTTGTGTTGTTTTCATGCCTCCCACCACGTTTTCAATTATCAGCCAGTATTATTAGCACGATCGTAAAATAATACCGAAGCACAACATCTGCATTAAGCTTTTAAGGTTCACCAATTCATTTTATGACGCGCCAAGTTTAAAGCTTGATGTTTTCATGACACTCTTTCGCGTTCGATATGTTATCTTTCATTCCTTACTTTGCAGATCGTGATTCACAAATATTCCAATTGCCTGCCTCAGATCCTACCAACTTCTCTTTTAATTTCATCGAGATTGTTTTCACTATTTTCCGGGTGTTTTTGAGAGGAAAAGTAATTTGTCAAAACTTCAGCCGGAAACCTATCATCATTATGCTCAACCCTACACTTAATGATTACAAACATGAGTGCAAAACTGTAAGCACAGAACTGAAACGAAACGAAAGTTGTCTCCTTCACTTTCTAGTTCTACCAAAGTTTCGTCCATTCAACTTTCTAACGCGAAACCAGCTATCATCACCACTATTGGCAGTAACACATACGAAAAAGTGATCAACAACTACTTTGACATATTTTGTAAATGAGTTTTCATAATCGATTAAACCAGCTTTCGTGCTCTCGACATTGCACGGTTCACAGGACTTGCCGGGTTGTTTGCTGCGAATTAAATTTTGAACCTGTAAAGTTCGAAGTTGATCGGGACGTTTTTCGCAATCGAGGCGAAAAATGTTCCTGTCCTGAACACCCTGAAAGCCTCTAAGGCGATTCTCAACGTCAAACAACTCGCTCTTTGACATAATGAACACACTGCCAGAGGGTTTGAGACCTTTCGAACAAAGACGAGCTTAAGACGAGGAGTCTGTTTTCAAGTCATGTCATACTAGACAAAGGCAAACTAGTAATTTAAAAAAAAGAAAAGCAGAATGATGGATCGCCCGAACGAGTGTTTCGCACCAATTATCAATACCAACTGAAGGATTTGATGGCGGTTATCTAAAACGATTTGTTTAAGTTGAAGTAAGGGATTAGCTGATGAAAAGACACCCATCCATTGTAGAGGTGTAATTGTGAAGGATTATAATTAGATGGCTGTCAAACCTTCTTGCAATGTTTTTCTAACCTCACTTCGCTCTATTTGGTGGCTTTTTTTTATTTCGAGAAGACTTTTTCAGCTCTGAGTAGGCGGTTCGAATGTCCTCGCCAACCCTACCAGACCAGCAAGCACCACATTGCAGCGCTCGACCCATAATAAACAATCGCAATGAATCGAATGTTGATCTACCTACCTTTTTTCCTATCTGTCAACTTGTCATTGCTTGGACTTTTTCCATCATATAGGAGCATAATCAGAAAGTAAAATAAATTTGACACCGGCAGCGAACACTTTTGAAAGCGATCGCTTCCATAGACGAGTGCAAGAACTTAGACTTTGATGTGACAAGATATTGACGGTGGCTTTCAAATTGTTCTTGTCGAAGCATAGAAAATTTAAAGCCGGGGTAATTGAATGGCTTTTGACTACATCAGATGATTTGTATTGTTGATCAACCCACGTGGACAATTAAACCACACTGTCATCCAGTGAAAAGAGCCCATAAACCATGAAAGAGCGACAAAGAATACATTTTATAAGGAGCTGTTTTCTCTTGAGACGAAAACAATTTCAAAAGAGATTGTTTATGCATGGATAGCGAAGAAAACAGATATCAAACTCTTACTTTTGTTTTTAAAAGTGTACTTGTAAGTACATTACTGAGTGCTTTAGAATCGCTCGTAGTCCTCTCTATGAACTGTGCCATTGTCTTCTTTTTAAAGCCTTTTTTTATCTAAAGAAAGTGTTCTTTCTTCAGCTAGTTTTATTTCTTGATTTACCTTAGTTATCAGGTCTTGGGGAAATATCAGACCCTCTTTTGAAACAAGAATGATGAAGGGTATTAGTGCACTCAGAATCATCGCAACGGCGTTTCAATTCCATTTGGCGATACTCTCTTTGGAGAGAAATTGTTTGATTACATGATATTTTGTCGCTGAAGTTCACTACCACAACGGTTACTTCGTCGCCGCTTTGATATTGAAGTTCGAAGGTTGAGGTCCATTGAATGTAGTCTAATTACAATATAGTCTAATTATAGAACAGGCTTCCGTGTTCCTTCAAATCCATCTCTTAAGAGAACCTTTTTGTTTTTGACATCTATCATTTAACTACATGTGAAACCGATTATCGTATGAGGAAAATCATTACGCCCTTTCTGGAAATGATTTAGTGGAGCTATCGAAGATAAAACTGTAGGTGGCCGTGAAAAAGACTCAGCGAGGGACTGTCCAACCTCGCCTCCAGGGACCGAAAGTTTCTCATTAAATGTGGGAGGGGCACAACAGAACTCCTGTCGCACTGATTAATTTCATTTCGAAGCCTATTATTATAATTATTTTGATCGAGCCATTATGCAACTACGCCTTCCTTTTCTGGGCCAAAAATAAAGTCACAACACCTGGTCTAACTGTCAAGACGTCTTTGTTTTCTTGAGTCGTGGTCTCTTTCTTCCCTCTGATAAATAATCAATCGAAGCCAAGAGATCGTCAGCCAATATTCTCTTGCCCAAGGTTAGGTTATCGTACGTATCTTGGCTCTGTGGTGCATTTACCCCATCAACATTCAGGTTCGGCATTTTGCTGAATAGGAATCCAGTTGCAAGACTTCTTCTTATGGCCACTACCGGCCATTATTTACTTACTCATCGCCTGGCGGGGGGTAAGAGGGGGTTGTGTTACGATGTAATTATTTGACCCCCCCATAAAATATACTGAAATATCCTAATGATCTCCCCTTAAAGGCAGTCTATTATAAAATCCTCCTTCTCTCTATAGGAAATTTTGCCGGGGTAGTGGAGGGTCTTATTGTGGCAGTGTGAACATAAACACAGTGAAATGACGTCAGAAGAGCTTTTCAATTTATAGCCTACAATTTCTAGAAGTTGCTGATATTTATCAACGTCATAGATCTAAGAGAGATTGTTTTGGTTGACGGCTGTTGTTAGGAGAGGGTAAGAATACGGAAATAAAGCTAAAGCTGGAAGAACGCACTTTGTTGAAAACAATTTCCAAAACCGAATTATGTTTTAGGCCAAGACTAACTTGGAAAATAATGCCCTCGGGTATGAATGACCGGTAGCGACAAAATTCTTGTTTTTTCTCTATAATTGTTCAAAATTTAATGTTGCATAACATCTTAAGTGCGACACCGTTGCCTTAAGCAATGAAAGAATCCCAAAACTGTTGTACTTAAAATGCACCATGATGTGTGGTCAAACTACCGAACTCTGCTTGCTTTGAATGATATTTTATCGGTAATGGAAAAGAATATTTCATGGAAGAATATTTCCACCAGCATTGTACTCCTAGTCAGTACTAATAAAGATAACCTCTTGCAAGTGAATTTCAATACACTTTATTAAATATTCTACCCTGGTGGTGACTCCGTTTACGGTTGAATTATTTCAATTGCGGTTAAAACCGAAACGTGTTCACCGTTTACCAGGGAGGTTCAGATGCGTATAGCAATCTTAGTAACTAAGCAGTGCTTCACGGCCTTAGGGTAACAGTTTTCTTGGATTTTCGTTGAAAAAGTTAATCCTTTTAGCCACAGCTTCAAACATTCTCAAAAAAGAAAAGGAATAAAGGTGAAAGATAGGTTACCACCCAATTACTAGTGCCTCCGTTAGCTTTTTCCCTTCCCTTAGTAACCTCCCCACCCTCCTCCCCCTGCTATGATTCTGACATTTCCCACACGCCGTTTCGAACTACGGTTTCGTTCGAATGTGGATGATGACAGTTCTAACGTTTGAGGTTTGTTTTTCTATCTTACTTATTCAACATTTTAGTTTTAATTACTGGGAATTGTTTTATGATGTAGGTTTTGTGAAGAGTTAGTTATCACCGTGCCTTTTGGTACATAAGGATTTTCAAAAATAAACTTCGATGAACAGTTGCAAATTAAGGTTGTCAAAACCAAGTTACCTATTGGCTAACAGGTTTCCTTACATGTGTATATATCATACCCTTAACTTGCCACGAACATTTATATTTGATCACACGTTTGAATCATGGGTTGTATCCTGTATTGGGTTGGACACTTGGTTATCGCAGTACCTTTCTTAACCTACTGAAATTTGTGAGTACTTCGATTTTTGTAATTGTAGAGAGGATTTTTTTTAGACAAATTCTAGTTTTCTCCTACTTAATAACGTAAACATTTCAGGTGACCAATGGTATTTAACACTTTAACTCCCAAGATCTGATTGCTAATTCTCCCCTTTAGCTGATACACATTTTCTTGTAAATTTAGTTATGAGAATTTGGTGTTTGATCAAGATAACTTCTACCGAATAAGTTTGAGTATTCTCCTTACCTGTTTGGTGGGTAATCTGATGTATGGATATTGTTAGGAGAAGCTACTTGGTTCATGTTAAAGGGTCAGCCCTTTGACCTCCTAAGAGTGATTAGCATCTAATTTCTCATGGTTACAATATCATCCCTGTATGACACTTGAAGGTCATGAGAATAAAGGAAATGATCACCAATTAAATTTCTCAACAGCTAGCAATTGCAATCCAGTTTAAGTGCTCTTCAAACATGTCATTGTGAGGAAAAGCTCCAAGAGAAACTCTGTTGGCCAACTATCAGCTGACAGATGACCAACAGGCCACCAACAGGTTACCAATTGGCATTATACCCAAGAATGAAATACTCTTTCACCAATAAATTTTTATCAACAAAAGGCTATGACATTTAGTGTTGGCATTTTTTCATTTTCATTTTTAAACATGTATTTAACAGCTCAACAAGACTGTACACAAAATATAACTCAGAAAGTCAAAATTTTAGCAAGACTGGTTGTAAGGTGGGCTAAATTCACCTTTTTAGCTGTAGTTAAGATAATGGCTGCAAATAAGATACATGTAGGTTTGGTAGAGTGTTTTGTTTTTTGACACAGCAAGATTTTTATCTACATCAAGGAAATCACTTGGACAAAAGTTGAGGATTGTAATGTTGACTTATATTTACAGTGCACTTGTTCCAAAGCCAGTTTATTGAAAGTTTTGGTGTGTGGTCCAGTCACCAAAAAGGGGAAAATGTCTTTTTTCAATGATAGCATTTTTTTTCAACTTGATTTCAAGTTGGTAGTGTATCAGTTACCTTACTTCAATAATTTCAAGGAATTTTTAACCTGTTGAGAAACCAATATTCAGCTGAATTTAAATGAAGCAACAATTAGTAGAAATGGGCGAAATCTTGATTGCTTGATTGTGAAGACTCAATCAATGACAATGAAAGTGTATTTAAACAACTTAGCAATTATCAGCTTAAAATTTTTATCAGCTTAAAATTTTTATTGTTGAATTGGTCAATTTTCTTGACTGATTTCACAGCAAACTGAAAGCCAAACCAAACTAATTCCTGATTTATTTTTGTTCTCCTTTAAAAATTTCTTGATTTACCATAGACATGCTTGATTGTGAAGACTCAATCAGTGATAACCAACGTAGCAGACTGATTTAGGAGTAAACTAAAAGCAAAACCAAACTTATCCCTGATTAATTTTTGTTCTCCTTTAAAAATTTCTTCATTTACCACAGACATGCTTTCAAAAGAGAAAAAGGTCTGTTGTGTTGGGAGTCAGGTGGTTATGCAATTTTTGGTTACATGGATGTAAACTGTACTTTAATGATTATAATCAAATTATCTTTGCTTCTTGCCAGGTACATTAACAGTCAGCCAGTTATGAACAGAGATTCTATAAGCTAGATACCAGTCACCATTCAAGAATAAGCCATGGACATCCATTTTTGGTAGGCAAAAAGTTTTTTTCAGAAATCTTAACATCCTAGATCCAAATTAGATGTGCTGTGACAAGTTTACACATTCTCTTCAGGATCGAAGGGAAAGTTTTGCAGAGTTTTATAACTTTATTTTTCTTACATAACCAGTTAAGAGTCTTTCCATAAGAGGACCAGGCAGGTTTGACATGTCATCTCGCCAACAACTTACAGAATGTTAGGTTCAAAAAGTTATTCAAGATTCATCATTCTACAGCAATAAGTAGAGTTCTTTTTGGTCATCTCTTTCCTTTAAGCATGCATGTTTCACCACAGATGATCATTTTACTGTCGTGAGTCTGGAAAGTAAGTAAAGATTAAAGGGAACATTTCCTCATGTCATCACATAAATTAGAGAAAACAACTGTCTTGATTGCTTTAGAATGATTTATGGTTTATTGTAAAAGCAAACTTTGTGAATTTCATTTCCAAATTCAAGTGTCCAAATGTGTAACAAGAAAAAAGGTCACCCAATGTACATATGTGTATATACCCTATAGCGTCTGTTTCCCCTGTGGTGTGATAATTATTTGGCTAGTTTCTAACTTTGAACATAACTTTCATGAGTACATTGGGAACCAGTGGGCTAAGATAGAGCATTGGAGGAATTGAACTAAAATGATAAAGCTTTAAACATAACATAATATGAAATTTATATTCTCAAATAGACAAAAGGACCCTTTGCTAGCACACAAAATGTAAGGGAAGGGGATTTCATCATGTTGTGTCACACAAAGTTGCTAAAGTTGCATAATTTTTCTTTGTTTTACGGAGGGAGAATGGCCATCTAGGCATATTTTGAACTTTTCGATTTTTTGGAGAAAGCAAAGTGCAATAGAGCTGATTGAAATAATTTTTGAAAACTTTCAAAAAAGGGTCAGTTAGGGAAAGTAAAATGAATTACAAAATTTTGCAATTGTAAGTGGATTTTATATTTAATAGTCTTAATAATCCCTAATTTTCAACCTAAATAAAAAAATTTGCATGGCATGGTTAATCGTTAACCTCTCTAAATTGCCTGAAATAGTATCAAATTACCCCAACTTTAAATGGGTACTAGTTGCTAAGGGTTAAATAAATAGCAATTTGAAAATTACTCTTTTTGAAAGTTTGAAAGAAATCGTCAAGATGGCATGTTTCATGCCTGCAAGGTCCTCTGGTGGACTGACTCTTAAATGCATTTTATGCTCGTAATTTAAATTTTCCATGAGCTCATTGATGGAACATTGGAGCAGGGCCTTTTTTTTTCCTTAAAAGATGTTGAATTGTTATCTTGAGCAATTGTACAGAAAGAAAAGTTAAAACCTCTGAGTCTCTTGTGTGCAACTCAGAGTTTTTCTTTGGCATTTGCCAGTGGTTAAATGTTATTCAAAATCTATCTTACTCTACCTCTTGCTACTTTTAATAAAAAATTTATTACACTTCAACTTAATATCCCCCCTTCCCCATTTCATGTGGTAGGATCAGGCTGAATGTAGCTTAGTATTGATCAGGAAGAGAGACGGTCAAAGTAAATGAATGGGGGGCAAATATTGTTATCTCAGTCAGGAGAAATATTACACCTTAAATTAATGCCCTCCTTTGCCATTTCATGTGGTATGATCAGACGGAATGTAGTGTAATATTGATTAGGAGGAGAGAGGGTCAAAGTGAATGAATTGGGGAGCTTGTTTTCTCATTCAGGAAGAGAGAGGGTCAATGTTAGTAAATTGGGGAGCTAATATTGTTTTCTCAGTCAGGAAGAGAGAGGGTCAATGTTAGTAAATTGGGGAGCTAATATCGTTTTCTCAGTCAGGAAGAGAGAGGGTCAATGTTAGTAAATTGGGGAGCTAGTATTGTTTTCTCAGTCAGGAAGAGAGAGGGTCAATGTCAGTAAATTGGGGAGCTAATATTGTTTTCTCAGTCAGGAAGAGAGAGGGTCAATGTTAGTAAATTGGGGAGCTAGTATTGTTTTCTCAGTCAGGAAGAGAGAGGGTCAATGTAAGTAAATTGGGGAGCTAGTATTGTTTTCTCAGTCAGGAAGAGAGAGGGTCAATGTTAGTAAATTGGGGAGCTAGTATTGTTTTCTCAGTCAGGAAGAGAGAGGGTCAATGTAAGTAAATTGGGGAGCTAGTATTGTTCTCTCAGTCACGAAGAGAGAGGGTCAATGTTAGTAAATTGGGGAGCTAATATTGCTTTCACAGTCAGGAAGAGAGAGGGTCAATGTAAGTAAATTGGGGAGCTAATATTGTTAATTCAGTCAGGAAGAGAGAGGGTCAATGTAAGTAAATTGGGGAGCTAATATTGTTTTCTCAGTCAGGAAGAGAGAGGGTCAATGTAAGTAAATTGGGGAGCTAATATTGTTTTCACAGTCAGGAAGAGAGAGGGTCAATGTAAGTAAATTGGGGAGCTAATATTGTTTTCACAGTCAGGAAGAGAGAGGGTCAATGTGAATAAATTGGGGAGCTAATATTGTTTTCCCAGTCAGGAAGAGAGAGGGTCAATGTAAGTAAATTGGGGAGCAAATATTGTCAATTCAGTCATGATGTGTCATCTGTCTTGATGCAGATTGTAGATACTGAATAGCAATTAGTTTCCATAGTTTAAATAAACAAAGTTTGTATACACTGTATTTTTTTTAGAAATACTGACTGAAATATATGGCTAGGTAATTATCAGTAATGGGGGCATAATTTGGAGTCAATTTTGATTTTTTTTCTGTTGAATATTCAATGAAAACTGCCTCCAATTGAAAAAACTTTTAAGCTTAAGAATGATGCTCACACATCCTTTTTTTTTTATTGTTTTTGGGTTAATGGGCTCTCCAACAAAGTTTGGGGCTGGGGTTGTTGCAAAAATTTTTGATCTAAATACAGGGAAACTTGTAGCCCCTGAACAGCTTCTGATTTGTCCTTGCAGTCTCGCCCCTGAATCAAACATGAATGTCATGAGAATAAAGGAAATGACTGCCAACTGTGGAAGATCTTCATTGTAAGACAAATTTCCCTGGTCATTACCCAACAACAACAAACAACAACCACCTCTCTGGCAAATTCTGTGATGTGCTTCCCGAACTAAATAATAATAATAATAATAATAATAATAATAATAATAATAATAATTATAATACTAATACTAATAATAATGATAATAATAATGTTAATAGTCGTAATAATAATAACAGTGTTATTTGATTTAGTTTTCGTGTCTAATGTAACGTAATTTTCTTATTCATAATAAACTTTATATTCATTTACTTATCGTGCTGTTACCAAATTATTGTACATTAAATCGTTTTTTGACAAGATAGAGTAACAAAGTGAACCTGGGATCAAAGACCAATTTTTCTAGAGTTCTTTTTCTGCAATAGCATTCTTTTAAATATCAATTTGTTACTGGCTGGCTATATTGATGTTGAGTAGTTTTTACTCATACTCCTGCACCACTGTATTTAAGCTCTGATTACTCAAACAATGCCAGTCTTACTTTTGTCCTCTTTTAACCTCAGGAGTCATTCAAGAGAGACAGGGAAACGGGACTAACCACATTGAATTACAGAGTTGAAAAACGGACTCCTCTTAACATCAATGGAGCGCCTTGTACGATCTTAAACGTTCACTTGGATTGCGTTTTAGAGCAGATATTCTGGTGTGACAATCCTGATTCATGACAAATATAAAGAGAAAATGTAGCAAGTTTACTCTGGGTACACCAGACAGCTGTTGTCTATCATGACGAAGGTCCTGGAACCATCAGGATTTTTTCCGGTGCAGGAAATCTTCTAAAAATATTAATCTAGATGTGGCTCGTAAGGATGTTCAGGACCTGAAAGAAACATAAAATAGGCATTCTTTGGTCTACGAATTCATTGACGTCGAAATATAAATTTAAAAAAATGTACGTTAACCCTTTACACCCAACATCAGTATGCATATTCTCCATAATGTTTCCTATACATTTCCTGAGGTGATGATCAAGAGAATTTGTGTAACAATCAAGAGCTTATATATTTGGTGATCATTTCCTTTATTCTCGTGACTCTGGTGTATGACTCAGGGTTGATATCGTGAAGAAAAATTAGCTGCCAGCCAACCACATGCGAAACCATCTGAGAAAGTAAAGCACTTTGTTTGTTTTTTTTCAACTTGAGATAAATTCCGACGGACTTGTACTCTTTCTACTATCGTAAAAAATTATGAAGTGTACGCTTTGTAATGATGTATAAAATGAACATATTGAATACAGCTGAACAGCCCAATGAAACAGTCTCACTCATTTTTCTAACAAGACGAAGCCCTTTAATGGTTATGATGCAACGAATTTTCTCTAATCTGTTTGTGGCGAAGAGTCTTGAATGAAGTTAACGCTTCCTTATGCCCATGTGTAGTTGAGGTTGCTTAATACAATTCGGTTTCTCTTTTGATAATAATTTTTTTGGTTGATCAACACTGGTATGCCTTTTCATGAACATTTTGTGTATAGTATGTTCAGAGACACCTTAAGCCGGGCTTAGTCTTGCTCCCAGATTCTGTCGCATTGTTGTCCGTGCCGGGGGAGTTGGAAATTTGACACAAACAGCCTTTTTGGAGTGGGAAATTTGAATTTGCCCGGGTAGGATGAAGAATTTTAACCCGAAGTAAGAAGTATATTTCCAGCGGAATACATGTTTTATTTTTTTTTTTATATGGAGGAGTCCAAAGGTGAAAAGTTTGCTTTCGTTAGCGAATGGTTCAGAAGAAAAGATATGTTGAAGCTTAGGAAAATTTAAAGGTTTTTAAGAATTAGAGCGTACATTTAATTCGAGTGAATATCAGGTTTTATACCATGAATAGTCAATTGAAGAAATTCTTGGAATACAGTGGGTTTGTTGTATAGATCAAAATGGACGAGTGAATGTCATGAATGACAGTAAATATTCCTCGTGGGCGCGGTCATGACGACGCAATTTTGGGTCAAATAACAATAGCTCGATTGTGTTTTTCATTCCCTTTTTTGTGTCGTGTTTACTTCAAAGTCGTAAAGCACAGAGAGGGACACTCAGTGCAATTATGCAAAACAGGAGGGGTTACTGGACTTGGAAAGAAGAAAACGGCCATTTGTTTCTTCTCAACGGGTCCTCTATAACAGGCTGGAATTTCGCGTTATTGAGCTTGTCACTTGCCACTTCGACCATTTTTTGGTGTGGAAATTTTCAGTTATTTCACCCATTTCTCTGATATGAAACAGATACATTTAGACGCTGTGAACTGAATTAATATCAATTTTATAGCATCAGCACCCATTCACGACCCAAAGAATATTTCTAGGAACTTGGTTTAATGTCACATCACACTTTTCTTTTTCCAAGGAAAACATAGAAGAAAACCCAAAGGAACTAAAGTGGAGAGTTTATAACACCTTTATGGTATGTTTGTTTTTCTAAATTGAGTTTTTCTGGCCGCAGAAATACTAGCTTACTTGGAAGACAAAGTGTGCTAAAATCAGTATTTGAACAAACGGACATATGTTTTATTGAAGAGAGATCGTTGTCCTTCTATACACAGCTTAAGTAAGTGTCAAAGTTAGACCAGCTCCACTTACATAAGAGGAATCTTGATGTAGGATCATGGTTTTGAATTCAGTACCAGCCTAATTACGAATTGGAGCATGTTTTCAGAAGAAACCTGGTGGTGTCAATACAGAAAAATGCTTTTCAAGCAAATTGTCTAGGTTCAAAACCGTCCGGGTTCGAGTAAACATTTCTAAAATTACAAAATTCCACCTCCCCATTGAGCTTCACTAAGATCAAATTTAGCCTCCAGCTTGGCATCCATCTTCGATTTTTGATGAAACGGGACTAACTCAGGAGCTCGGTGTCGATTATTTTGAATCCGCAGTTTAAAGTGGAAAAACTCATTTGAATTACAAATAAATTTTAAAATTAATATTCATATTTGCGCTCAGTCTTGCACGTGGAAGGAGCTTACGAACTGAAAGAAATTTCAGCTTATTTTCCAGCTTTTATGGATTCAAGAAACACATTGTTTTTACCTTATTGCCTTGGATATCGTCAGTTCTGTCAAGGTCGGCGAGTGTTTCATCTGTTGAATCGTGTGGTTAACATGTGATCGACGTCGAGGATTCATGACTTTCATTTTGTCAAGACTTTTCATCAGGTAAATAACCTATGTACAGATATATTTTGGGTAGAATTGCAGTGCTCGCGTTTTTCGTTGATGTTCGAGTAAAATTAATTTTCAAAGTCGAAGGTAAGAAGGGAGGGCAAGATCACATGGCACAGATTAAGACAAATACTCAGTGTCGGTCGCCATGACAGTTTCTTGCTCGTGTCTTTGATGAAATGCCGAGAAATTCATTCTTTACTGTTCTTATACTTATCGCTTATTTCCTTATTTTCCTTTTAATTTCTGTACTGATTTTTCAAACTATACACAGTTTTTATGCTTCGAATATTGTGGCATTAAGTTTGTTTCAAACGCGCTTGTCATTTACCCTCAATCCCGCCAAAGAAAGTAGAGAGTTATCGTTATCACGTTTTGTATGTAATACAGAATCCGGTTTCTGGATATCAGAGGATTTCATGCAGAAACTGCAGATGGCAGTTACTCACTGTAGTAATGTACATGAGAAAATTACGCACTTTTCAGATTATATGATAATTTTTTTTTCTCACAAAAAAACTGGCTTTCTCCCTTAGTTCTGCATCAAATATGAGGGTCCCAACCAAATGTTTCCCTTTCTTTGCTTACACTAGTTCTTCAGAACAAAGAGCACACCTTGCGATGTATTCTTATGGTATTTCACTTTTTTCCCTCCAGATTAGCGTCAGGCATTGGATGAAAAGTATACAAATCAAGAAGATCAAGGGATAACATACAACAAGGTTGGTTTTTCAGTTTTATAACTATTTTGCTCATCTTACCTTGCAAGTCTTTACAATAATGACAAGCCACTAAAGCTGAAACAAAGAACCTACAAAAGAAAATCAAAGCCAGCCATTTTATTCAATTTCTGAACTCTCTGATGTTCGTCTCATTAGGTGACTTGCAGTGGTTTACATCGCTATAGCTCAGGGCCGGGTTGTTCGAAAGGGGTTTAACCTAGGATTCTAGGATTTAATCTAGGATTAAAAGTTAACCTTGGCTTTTGCACTAACCCTGGGTTACGTTAATCGAACAACCCGGCCCTCGTGAACTCAAACTGCTGCTCTCAGTGTGTCTGTTGGTAGAGAAACACTGGTACTATAAATGAAAGAAATATGTTTTCCCTCAAAAAATTGTGTTTTGACTATTCCTCCGTCTCAAAAATTTCTCACAGGACTGCTTTAACCTCTTTTTCCCGGCTAGGACAATTGCAATGATGAAATGAGACCGCATCGAAATAAAGAAATGCCAAGGGCGGAAAGAAATACTAGATAGCCTCTGACAAGGTTAGTTATTTGGCTTTTATAAAAAATTAGTTATTTGAGCCTATTAGTCTGCGTTGAACAATCTAACCTGGATTTAGCGTATATTTATAATTTAAAAAAATGCATCTGTCAATAATGAAGAAAAACTGCGGAGGAAGAAATGAATCCAGTTTTTTTCCTTTTTCTGTCTGATTTCTTGGAGCTGTTTCTGATAAGTAGGCTTTCAGTTGTTTGCAGCACTGCTCGCACAATGAATGAGCATTACCATGAATACTTTTTCTCTGTTTTTATGAAACGCTAGTGTAAAATGATCTCCTCTCGACTATTTTGCCATCCATCTGGCATAATGAGCTACCATAGCAACGATTTAGTCTTCCTGAGTTTTAGAAAGCAATAGTCACAAGGATCTCGATAATCCCATTTTTGTTTACTGCTATCTCGCAAAGCGCAAGCCACGCATGAGGTCAGACATACTTAAGTACGCTTCTTATCTACCAAATTGTTGACCGCCACCTTATTCCAAATTACAGATCACAGATCAGCTTTAAGTCTCCCCTCTCCATTTTTGTTTTCAGGAAGTAATTGCCAACTGTGAACTTAAGGTTCACGTTTATTGATGATTTCTTCACTGTGAAATCCTGTTGTGGGCAGACGCAGGTAAACAAGATTTGCTATCATCGAATTGAAAGTTTCACTCTGTTTGTAGGTTACCTCAGGTGTTTAGTGCATAAGAAGATTAAAAGTTTTTCCTCTTATGATTATTCTTATGCTTATGTGCACAGAATATTTATTTAGAAATAGAGTTAACCACCCTCCCCTGCCCTGGCGAAACAAAATCTCTACATAAAGTATGCGCATATTATAGTTGAACCCAGTTCTTTTTTCTTTCCTTTCAAACAATTCAAAGGATCTGTAACAATTTGTTTAAATTAGATACGCAGATAATTAACTCTGTTTTAATAATGCGACAAGAGCAAACCTTATTTACACTGTACAACTCAATTCTGTCTTTAGAAAGACTCATTGATGATTTCTTTGCTTCCTTTCCAAGGTAGAAAATTATTCTCCCACGGCTTTTGGTAGTGCAGCTAATTTCGTGAGGTAAGTATTGACCTAGGATATAAAATAAAATACAAATATCTTTTAGTCCAAGTAAAAAAAATTAACACTGTAGACCAATACTTAGTCCTACGAAGAAAAAGGGAAAGAAAAACCTATTCTGGACACTGGAGTGTCTTGGTACAAGAGATAGGAGACTGAAGACTGACCCGCTATGGGGCTTTGTCATCCAAACAATCTCTTTCTCAGTCTTCATCTGTGATACAAAGACTAATTGGTCCCCTAAAAAGGAGAATAAAACTGTTTCGGACACTGGACTATCTTTATGTGCTGACAGGGTGTTGAACTTTGTACAAGAGATAAGAGACTTAAAGCTGGCCCTTTAAGGGGTTGGTGTCACCCAAACAATCTCTTCCTAAATCTTGATCTGTGATGCAAAGACCTGGTCCCCCCAAAAAAGAATGAAACTGTTTCGGACTCTGGACTGTCATTATGCGCTGATCGGGTATTGGACTTTGTACAAGAGATGGGAGACTTAAAGCTGGCCCTTTACGGGGTTGATGTCACCCAAACAATCTCTTCTTTAGTCTTGATCTGTGATACTAAGACTTGGTCCCCAAAAAAGAGAATAAAACTGTTTGGGACACTGGACTGTCTTTATGCGCTGATCGGGTGTTGGACTTTGTACAAGAGATGGGAGACTTAAAGCTGGCCCTTTACGGGGTTGGTGTCACCCAAACAATCTCTTCCTTAGTCTTGATCTGTGATGCAAAGACCTGGTCCCCCAAAAAAGAAAATAAAACTGTTTCGGACACTGGACTGTCTTTATGCGCTGATCGGGTGTTGGACTTTGTACAAGAGATGGGAGACTTAAAGCTGGCCCTTTACGGGGTTGGTGTCACCCAAACAATCTCTTCCTTAGTCTTGATCTGTGATGCAAAGACCTGGTCCCCAGAAAAGCGAATAAAAATGTTTCGGACTCTGGACTGTCTTTATGCGCTGATCGGGTGTGAGACTTTGTACAAGAGATGGGAGACTTAAAGCTGGCCCTTTACGGGGTTGGTGTCACCCAAACAATCTCTTCCTTAGTCTTGATCTGTGATGCTAAGACTTGGTCCCCCAAAAAGAGAATAAAACTGTTTGGGACACTGGACTGTCTTTATGCGCTGATCAGGTGTTGGACTTTGTACAAGAGATGGGAGACTTAAAGCTGGCCCTTTACGGGGTTGGTGTCACCCAAACAATCTCTTCCTTAGTCTTGATCTGTGATGCAAAGACCTGGTCCCCCGAAAAGAGAATAAAAATGTTTCGGACTCTGGACTGTCTTTATGCTGTGATCGGGTGTTAGACTTTGTACAAGAGATGGGAGACTTAAAGCTGGCCCTTTACGGGGTTGGTGTCACCCAAACAATCTCTTCCTTAGTCTTGATCTGTGATGCAAAGACCTGGTCCCCCCAAAAAAAGAATAAAACTGTTTCGGAAACTGGACTGTCTTTATGCGCTGATCGGGTGTTGGACTTTGTACAAGAGATGGGGGACTTAAAGCTGGCCCTTTAAGGGGTTGGTGTCACCCAAAAAATCTCTTCCTTAGTCTTGATCTGTGATGCAAAGACCTGATCCCCCAAAAAAGAAATGTTTCGGACACTGGACTGTTTTTATGCGCTGATTGAGTGTTGGACTTTGTACAAGAGGTGGGTGATCAAGGGGTTTGGGCCACTAAGGAATCGGTGTCACTCAAAAAAAAAATCAAAGAAAAGATAAAAATGAAACTCATTTTAGTTAATATTTCATTTATTTAAACTTGAAAATAAATAGAAAGTAAAAATTTAAATGATTTTTGTATTCTTCATTTTTACACAGGATTCAAGGAAGAGGGGGAAAACGTATATTTACGTCTTAGATTTCAGTGGCTTGTGATCGCCTCCATGAGGTGTCTAAGGCAAGTGGTTTGTTATCAATCAGAAAGCTGCATGTAATCAATTGAGGCAGAAGCACACAACACAGAAGCATCGTTTTAGGTGTTTAATGTCGCAGAGCTGGGCTTCTTACAGCCCGGGTTCAGTCTGTCAGAATTTTTTTTTCTTGTGAGGGTGGAATGTAAAAACGATCGCGTTTTCTTAAAGTGCTGTCCTAGCATTACGAGTTCAGTTTACGGCTCACGCGCAGCTCTTCAACCGATATCTTAATGGATACGTCAATCCACAACTATCATACAGCAGAGCAAAACATCTTACCCACAGCCAACTGATGAAAATTAAAATTCTAGAGCTTTTCGGAGCAAGAAGGGCTTTAGCAACTTATTTCGTCATAATGGAAGTAACTTGAGGTCACTTTTCTAGAAGAATGTAAGCTTATTTTACCCACCTAGCTGACAGAAGAGTTAAAGCTCAGAACAAAGAGAAAGAGAGAGAAAAAAGGAAAATCATACATTGACGCAAAATAATACAGCTCTCACCAATGAGCCTGGTCACAATGTGAAAATTTTTATTCAAACACAAAATAGAATTAATACGAGGTGAAAAAGACTTTTTTCAGATAAATGGAAGAATTTTTCTTAGGAAAAAAAGAAACTGTGAAGCACAATTAATAGACGACAACCTTGTTTGAACATTTACGGCAAGGGTTCATTTTCGCGGAGTTGACCCTTCATTTACAACACAATTACCTCTTACTTATCGAGTTCGAGTTCAGTATCGTAAGTTACGGACCGATTTTTTACCCGCTCAGATTTATTTCTCGCGCGTCATAAATCCGAGCAGAAAAAACGAGACGTAGGGACATACCGAGAGAACGCTTTGAAACAAACTTTTTAATTTAGTGGGCCGTACAGCGAACTACAGCCGCAAATTGACAAATCATAGCCACGTATTGACCGAGAGATATGATAAGCTTACTTAGTGTACGTCTTATCTCTCCACGATGATTTGATTCAGTCGCAATCCTCTCTCAAACACTAATTAAACGGGCAAAGTATCACTTAAAATCCGCGCTAGAAAACTCATAGGAAGCGTAAATTGCAGGTTCTCCATGCACGTTTGACCTTCTTACTGTCTTCAAGGTACTCTACACGGGATTGAAATCTCATTTTATTTCTTCTAAAAGTCAATAATTGATTTAATAGGCAGCTAAGTTTTCTTGAGCAGATCCTCTCTTTTTCAAACCTACAAAGCAATCCACTCCAAAAATTCTCAAGTCAAGGAAAAGTTAGGAAATTTTCAGTTTGCGTCCAGGGATATAAACGTCGTTTACAGAAGTCAAGGAAGCGTGAAATCTACTTATTAGGATCTTGTTCCTAGGAGAGATAGGCCACTTCATTGTTCTGACATGAAACTCGATTCCAGTCCTCTTACAAATTGCTACTAAGGGCCTCCCCTCGGAGTCTTTTTTTTCCCAACCAATTCCATTAATGGATTGCATCTGTTCAAATATAGATCCCCTCATTTACTTCTTTCTCCTGAACATTTTCTCCCAAATACCTCAAGTAAGGCCAAAATGATTTTTTCTGTTTAATTGATGAGATAAAGATGAATTAGTGTTTAATTTCTTGCGGTGGTCCAACAATTAGTTTCTTTTGTGTCGCCTAGGATTAGAGAAAAATAAAAATTTCCAACCAGAACTAGAGGTCTTACTGAAATTGCAATCATTACGTTTTTTTTGTCTGTTTGATGCAGAAAAGATAAGTTTAAGATAAAATATGAACTTCGATTGTGGCTATTGCAATTTTTGTAGCATAGTTGAACGGAAGCCTCCGTCATTATTTTACAATGGTCCATAAATTGTCTGTGAATTGTAAATGATCAAAATTGCCTTTTTGTAAGTAAATAATAACCGCTTGCCTTTCCTCTTTCAGTCACCATTGTGTAAAAAAGAAACTCAAGGACGCGAGAATACTTCTTATTCTGCTGAGCGAAGCCATGTTGTAAACTATGACGAAAACTCCTGCAATGTTCATGGAAAAATATCAACTTTGGAAAGAAAGCAAGAATGTTAGTGGACTCTTGCTGTCGGCCATTCTTCTTCACACTCATTTCTATAGCTTTTAAACAGTTTTGTTAAGTCTTCATGAAAGTATTTTACCTTGTGTTAGTAACATTCACGTCAAACGCAACGCCAAACGTCTGTCTAAATACATGCTTTTTTTTCCCCAAACTTGACATTTTCTCTGATGGGAGGACTTGTCAGCAAGTGTGGCTATGTGTACCATAACAAGTGCTGTCAATGAATTTTCGTCTTTCGTTTCTACATAGATTAGACCACCTCAATAACGAAACCAAGGACAAATATCATGTACATTAGCCAGTTTTCTAAACTATTTGTAAGAGTTGTCTGCATTGTAGTACCTACATCTTTTAATAACGCATCTGTATTACAGCAGACGTTTGGTGAGAACATGTTTTCAATCCTTTAAAAATAAAGTATTTGCAAAAGCTGTCTACCTTGTGATAACACCATCGTGTAATACGCATGTGTCAGAGACAGACATTTAGTTGCACATAACGCATACGTTTAAAAATAAATTTTACTACCACAAGGTAGACAGCTTGTACAGAGTTAAGAAAACTGTTTTCAAGAGGTGGGCGTGGTGGGGGAGGTCGGATGGAGAAAAATAACTGTCTCAAATTATCGTAATATTACTGTATTATAAGATTGTTGGAAAAATAATGGTAATGTAACTACTGTACTATAAATTAAATATTGTATTGTAATACTGTACTGTAATACTAATTAACTGTATTTAAAGATGTGTGAATCACAAGATAGGTGATCTATCAAGAGCTGAGAAAACTTTCTACAAGTGGCGGGTGTGGTGGTAGATAGTGGACAGGAAACCGTTTTTGGTTTCCTTCCAAGGTTGAAAACTTTTGAGTACTGCCTACTAGAGGCGGGTGTGTTGATAATTTTTAAGGACCATCAAATAGAGGCAGGGGCAGGTGTGGTGGGGGATGGTGGATGGATCGAACCCCAATTTGTCATTTTATTCTCGGAATGGGGGTCGATCCAATTTTGCTTTCTTTCTAAGATTGATATTTGTCTCTAGTTTTATGTTTAAGGTGATCGTGTTTCTTGGTATCCAGCTTTGGGTGGTTGAACAAACCTGAAAAACAGAGAAATGAAATCAGGGCCAAGAATTCGAGTCATTTCAACGTTTACCCCCAATTTTTTGCCTTCCCTTCCATGGTCTTTTTTAAATTAAAATAAATTGAATAAAACCAATAACGTTGAAGCTATCAGAATAAACGTTTAATTTTTTCAAGAGAGACTAAAAATACTTTTTACGGTCTTTTTTTTTCCTCTCTGGCAATCTGAAGTGAACTGCATGACAAATATATTTAATCACCTGAGGAACACGAAATGCCAGTCTTCAAAATGGCTTTTCCTAATTGATCCTTTCTTAGGTCCAATCTTTATTATTTGCTTCATTCAGCAATCTGTAGAAAGTTTAACATTACAAATGTAACCTGTACTTCTATGTGAACGGGCAGAAAATAAACATCATTTAATACGAAACCAGGTTCAGTGTACTGTTCAAGTCTTTGAGTTTTAGAAATTCACAAAGTATAAATTTATTAGAATGGAGAACGCATCTCTTTTATGAAATAAGTAAGCAATGATGGAAAGAAAGAGAGAAGGGCGAAACTGTAAGTGAAGAGCTGTAAAATCCCTCAGGTAGCGTGAATTCTGCTTTTGGCATGGACTTTGCATATTACAATTTGCGTTTTGCACATGGCTTTTTGAAATGGCTACACAATTCTCTATGCTGTAAAGCAAATTTTCAGTAATTATTGATAACACGAAAACATATTTTGGCGAAATTTTAGGCCATGAAGAAACACCTGTGGAATTGTATGACTTGAATTTGACTAACTCAATTTCATTTTATTAATTTTGTTCAACACTAAAATAGACAGTGGTTGACTTTTTAGTTACTTCAATAACATGTTGAGGAAACAACAACAGTGGAAATCAATGTGTACTCTCTGATTTGACAGGCAGGAAAAAGAAGCAAAAACTGCAGATGCTAAAATTTCAAGACGTTCCGGCACTAAAGCCAAACCTTGCAGTTATTTTGGACCTTTATGTAGTTCAATTTTAGTTTGCCTTTAGCGATAGGATCAACTTTTCAAGCTGTTCAAGTCCTAATACGGTTTTTTTATTATTGAGATCTGACCAAAAGACTACTTATCCAAGCAATTTCATGTAGTGAGAATGATATACGATCAAAAGTAAGTGGACAGCATCTCACTGTCACATAGAAAGTCCTAATTGGCTTCTGTGGAATAAAACCATGGACTGAGTAAGATGTAGAACTTTCTAACCTGTAATCATTATATCAACACATCATCTTGTAACCTTCCATCCCGGTTGACATCATAAACTACTCTTCAAAGAAACCACTGCCTACCTGAAAAAGACAGTTTCTACAAAACTTACCTGCGAGTGAAAACGTCTGCCAGATTGATACTGTATGTAAATTATTACGTACTATACAGCTACAGGGACAGAACTTAAACTAGAAAATAAAGTAGAGCCAAAGTAAACTCCATGTCACTGCAGAGTAAAATCTATGTCACTCCCCTGGCCAATTTCCTCACCACCCCTCTAAAGACGAGAGAATTCCATTCAAACTGAAACTTCTACCTGATTATTCTGGCCCAAAAAACGGTAATACTATATCGTGAACAATACAAAATTATTCAGGCATTACGTCACCAAGATAGAATTTTTAATTAGCCAAGCAAGTAATGGAAAGCCTTAAATGTTATTGGTTGCAACGCTTCTTTACCACACAGCTACAGGCTTTATGACACGGTCTGCTCTTAAGAGCAAATGGGAACACAAAAACTGCTTAGATACTCGATTCTTATGGCCAGGATTCAAGTATGCAAAATCTATGCATCAAGTTGGCAAAAGATATTGCTGTTAAAAGAAAGGCAGCTAACC